TTAATGGAACGTCATTTCCACAATTTAACAAAGGTTCTGTCAATGTCAGGACAATAACACCATTACCTGCACATCCTTTTAACGTAAATAATGTTGAAAAATGTTGTTTTATGCTAAAATATCATTTTATAAAAGTGCTGTATGGGCATACTGTGAACATACCGTCCAGCCTGGAACTCCTGACCTTTGTGATATTTGGGCTGCAGTTCTAGCTGCTACCCTCCAATGCCCTTCATTCATCCTTATATTTGTTATTATATTGTTATATTATATATACCTTACTTACCTTAGCCGCTAATCGTGAGGTCTGGCAACATGCCGTTCACCCGGCTGTGTCCTCCTTTGGGATCGCTCACAGGGCCAGCCTTGCGGTGAAAAGGGGTAGCAGGAAAAACCGCGATACTGCAGCGCCTAACTCCGGACAGACATTTCCCTTTAGCTGTTGTGGCCTCGAGTTGGCCTCTTCAGTCATCAGCGAGCATGCAGCAGATGTGAACAGCACCCTTCATCTTCATTCGAGAAGCCTGGCCACCATGGAGTAGAGGCTACAGTGCTTTAGAGATCATTTTTTCCTGGGGTATTTCATTTAGGTTACATTATAAAGAATGATTACCCTGACCTGTAAAATGGCTTCCTGACTCCTTCTGCAAGAGCCAACAGCACTAATGCATATCTTTGAATTTTTTGCAGTGTTGGCTATTCATGTAGCCAGTCTCGAGGTTTATGTTCCCATTCTGTGAAAAGTGCACACAATGGAATTACGTCAAGTTCACCGATGTGCTCATAGTCCACTCCGGGGTTTCGTCACTGCATGAGAGGGTAAGACCAGTCAGAGGCTGCCTCAGCTGGCTTAGGCAGATTCCCATTTCAGCATGGGTCATTTTTAAAGGCATGTTCTGTCCATGCGGCCATACAGTTATTTCTACCAGTCTATTGTTTTATACATAACTGAGAGACACCGATTGACCTAACTGCATTTCATGCTCTCAACTCCAGAAGTATGAGGCCACAACAATCCACTGTGAACCAGCCTGTTGCCTATGCCTGGAAGATAATAATATATGTATTTCTTACTAACATTGTGAGTGGATTTAGTAATCACATAAAATGATAACTGTCATTTGTCATCAGCATATGGAATATTCTAGAGCTCATTGCACTGAAGTACCCTGATAAATGGTAATGCACAATGACGTTAGATTGGGGTTACTGACCATATGGATCTAGTCCTGTTTATCTGTTGCATTATCTTAATGCGTCACCCCTCTGCCATTGACTAACTGCCCCCAGTCTGTTGCTCTCTGAACAAATATCCTTTGGTACTGTGCCCACTATTACATTATCTCACTGGGTACTTGGGAGAGGAAAAAGTGTTGAAATTCGCCTCCTGCAGTCCCAGGAACCTGGCAGTATGTCAGCAGAGCATTGGTTGTTGACCCTACTGATCTTCATCACAGCTTCAGTGTTCTGTGGAAGGGTCCTTTGTACCCTTCAGATGTTACCATGCTCTGCTATTTGGAGGGTTGTCCCTCTGCCCTAATTCTGCAGCTTGTTTCATCGTGGTTGAACTCTGTGCCCATCTGTGCACCAAAGATAACTGGAATCGACAAATGACTTTATTGCTGTTTCTTGGAGAAGTGAAGGTCTGGCCTCAGTTGTAGGCCTTTGGTCTTAATACCAGTAACTGAAAACATAGATAAATGAATACAAGTCAATTTCGTTAAAGACAGAGGAAAAAACATACGATATGTTGTTAAACACTGCCGTATATGAGATGTTTACAGTCACGATCGCTACAGAGACTGAAAGCGTGGCTGCTACCATTGCCCAGCATCAGTAGAGAATAACGTACGGCATATGGCTTGCCCAGGAACTGATTTGTAAAGTCGAACGATCATAGAATGAAGAGCATTTGCAAACAGCGTATGTATACTGTATATATACAGCTTAACTTTCCACTGCCACACCCCCTGCTGCTGAACAAAGATGGTGAAGATGTGCCTTGGTCTTACTTCCATTTGAACAGATTGAATAAATTTGCTATGTATTCAATCTTCGTTTACTTAGATTTTTAGAAGATCACTATCTTAACTGTTGACTTTCCTGAGATGTCTTCAGCCCAAATCCCCAATGCCCCCCTGGGAGAATTCTCTATTATATGCTGTCATCAAGCAGGACCGGATTGGTCATCTGGCATACTGGGTGGGCATTTTCCTGGCAAAAACTTATTGTGAGGAGCCATGATTAATCAGGGGTCATTTTTAATCCTACTTTAGCCCTGGGCAAGACAATAAACTTTATCTCTGGGTATAATGGACAGGACCAACATGTGATTCATCTTTTGGACCTGCCTACTAATCTGTGATTACTTGCTGGTGAAAGCTAAATTCAAATTCAAATTGTCTTCACAGTTCTACTTAGTACAATGTGCCATGAAGCACTTCTTTGCCTAACTCCAAGACTGTAATTTAGCAAGAAAGAAAAAATATAAAAAAGATGAAAGAGGATGTTAAACATTAAACATTGACAGTAAACTATAAAAATGTATATTAGTACATAAATTGAGCCAGCAAGGCTGCCCTAATGATCACACTTTCTAGCAAGCTGGAGTGTAGTTGTAGTATTATGTATTCTGCTGAGTAACGCAAACCAGTTTGGCTGTACAAGAAGAACTAATTCAAAGTTCATTTGCAATGTGGTTTCAAGTGGAACTTCCACAGATGACACTTCCTTTTACATAATAGATAAGCTTTGAACTAAACGTTTTATGAGACTAACACTGCACTTAATCCACCACCTCCTCTCATGTCATGAGCCTGATCCTTATCCTTAGTACATCAGTACCTTTATCAAAAATTGACTTGCAGATTGTTTTCTAACATTTAATTTAAATTTATATATATATTTATTTATTTATGAGCAACTTATGAACAACTTATACTTCATACTTATTTTAATGTTCAATGTATGAACATCTAATTATCACTTCTACATATAGTAAATGTTTTCTACATTTAATAAAAACATCTATATTGATAAATATATGTTATATTCAGTAAGTATTTTGTACCTTTAAGAAACAATTCTAGGTTGGTACATTTATTTGCTCTCATTATACGCAGCAGTTAAATACACAGGGTATCATACACTGATGATGAAATATTTGAACCTATTCCACTCCACCGATATCCATTCGGTTTGACAATGACCAGTTTCCAATCAGGAAGGCTTTCAGTGGAGAGAAACTGACCTCTTGCTTTCCTGTGGCCTCTATCAAGATCTCCATGTTAAACACATTTCGGGATTTTTGGTTTGTTTATTTGAATTAACTTTCTGCTGCTACGCCCCATGCTGGTGACCTAGGATGGCTAGAATGTAGATACGTTTAGTTATTCTTCCACTTGAGTAAGTTGAATAAATGCTTTATATTAAATTGACATTTATTTTAATGTAACAGTGGCAAGGTAAAGTATGTGAGCCATTTGGAATGACCTGGTTTTTTGCATTAATTTGTTATAATATGTGATCTGATCTTCATCTAAGTTACAATAATGAACAAATGCAACCTGTTTAATAATACACAAACTGTTTTGTTCTTGTACATAATGAATACATCATTCAAACACTGTAGGTTGGAAATAGTAAGTGAACTCCTTGATTTAATACCTGCCAGCAATATCCTTGAACACGTGCTTTGAGTAACCGTGGACCAGACCTGCAGAACATTCAGGAGGAATTCTGGACCATTCTTCCTTACAGAGCTGCTTCAGTTCAGTTATATTCTCAGGATGTCTGGTGTGAAAGGCTCTCTACTTCTGTGTTTAGGGTCATTGTCCTGCTGCATCACCCAGCTTCTACTGGGCTTCAGCTGACAGCCAGTGTTCTAAGCCCTGAGGCTCAAAGCAATCTACTTCCCCGTTGGGATGATGTTGTCATGTTGGGTGGCAGTGGCCTTTTCACACCATGGTCTTCTCAAACCATTCAAGCTTAGTTTCATCAGTCACCGAAACACTTTTCCAGTAGTATTCTGAAGTGTCAAGGTGTTTTTTGGCCAACTTAAGGCACACAGTGATGTTCTGTTATTTGGAAAGCAGCAGCATCCACTTTGGTGTGCTACCATGAATATCATGTCCATTCAATGTTTTATGTATGGTGACTAATGAACAGGGATATTACCTAGTTTCAAGGATTCCTTCAAGCCTTTAGTTGTTACTCTAGGGTTCTTTTTTACCTTACTGAGCATTTGTCATTATGTCTTTGGAGTCGTCTTGGCTAGGAAGAGTAGCCACAGTACTTCACTGTTTCCATTTATAGATAATTAGTTTGATAAATATCTAAATTCTTTGAGCTGACTTTGTAGCCCCTTGTATTCTGAGATCTCTTTTTCTGTAAGGCATGGCTCACATCAGGAGATGCTTCTTGTGAAAAGCCAACTCAAAATGTGTGAGTGTTTTTTATAAGTCAAAGTAGCTATATCCCTTTAATCCTGTTTCATTAACTGTACTCTTGGTTTGCCAACTCCTGGCTCTGATTAGCCTTTGTCAAAGTTATTAGCCCATGGTTTCATTTACTTTTCCAACCTACACTGTGACAGTTTGAGTGATGTATTTAATACATAGAATAAAAATACAATATTTGTGTGTTATCAGTTATCAGTTGTGTTTCTTCATTATTGCAACTTAGATGAAGATCAGATCATATGTTATAACCAATTAATGCAGAAAACCAGGTAATTCCAAAGGGCTCACATACTTTGTCTTTCCACTGTAGAACTAAATTGAACGTACTGTGCATGCCGTAAATGTATGGGTTTGAAGCCCCCCCTCCCCCACCACGTCTGGCAAAATCTACTGAGGGGGACCTATGGACAGGACTGCTGGACACCCCATGAAATTAATTTCTGGCTATAGGCCTCTGCGTCTCAGCTCTTAACCTGTTGGTTGCCAAGTGTCATTTAATTTATATTCAGCGACAAAACAAGAACAAAAGGAAAATAATAATGATTGTTCAAAATAATATTTATTAATGTCTCTTTATGCTTCTTACATTGAGAGCAAATTGAAATCCAAAACACACAATAATACTTCATGGTATACAAAAATAAATTAAGACTTTAAAACATCAACAACAAGAAAAGGTCAGTATATAATGACCAGTGACAGATGTGCAATAAGTGCACAGCATCTTGGGTTGAGTATAATAACGCTCTTCAGCAATCGACATTGTTAAATATATGGAACTGTAAAGCAGAAATAAGTTATGTTGTTTAGTGCACAGTCTCTTTTCAGGGTTTCCTCCTATTCACTTTTAAATAGATAGTTAAACAATTAATCAGCCGTGATAGTTGCTACCCATATCCTCAAGGTATTTCATCCAATTTCTTAACTCTTTTCTACTAACTTCTCTTCTAATTCTTTCAAGTCAGAGAGTGGGAATTAATATATGAATAGAAATCCAGTATTTATTTCTTTTTGACCGTTACCGTTGTGATGATCTGTATCTATCACAGCTGCTGCACTCGCTGTTCCAGTAACTCCAACTGCCTTTCTATCTCATAAGGCAGGTCATTGTTAACCTGCGTCTGGAAGTACAACCGGATGTCCTGTACCTCCTGTTCCCAGAATTCCTTGGGCAGTTCGAAGAGCTCGTCCAGGTTCACTTCTTGGTCAAGCCCCTTCAGGCTGATGGCTCCTTTGGTAGGCAGGCAGCCCACAGCAGAGTTAACCACACCGACCTCCCCGTCCAGCCTCTGGAACATCCACTGCAGGACTCGGATGTTTTCTCCATAGCCCGGCCACAGGAACCTCCCCGACTGGCTCTTACGGAACCAGTTGACATGAAAGATCTTGGGCAGCTTTGCCCGGGGTCTCTGCTCCATGCTTAACCAGTGGGAGAGGTAACGGCCAAAGTTATAGCCAAAAAATGGCCTCATTGCAAAGGGGTCGTGCATGATCGCCTTTCCTACGGGAACAAAGCCAGAAAAAAGCTATTAGCTACCACTGAAACATATACATTATATACTTCATTACATTTTTGCAACAGCATCCTATCCAGAGTATACCCCAGCCTTGTGACCAGTACTGCCTGGTATAGGCTGCAGGCCATGGCAACTTTGACTAAGATAAGCAGTTAGAAGATGTTTGGAGTACATCTTTGCCTGTTGCATAGGCTTTTGGTTTGCTTTATACCATGTTTTAGACATTTGCATTATAATATATTTGAATATTCTCTCAATGTAAGGAGTTCCATCCGTCACTAATGTGTCTCTTCATGTTTACTGCATTCATTTACCAGAAATTCAAACACATGTGACTCACCTTTATGTTCTGCTGCAGCTGTGGCTTCTGACCGCATGGCAGCACCAACAAACACACCATGCTGCCAGTTGAACGCTTCGTACACCAGTGGCACACCTGGGAGGGAAAAATCAATCAGTCAATAGACAAATGGAAACCCATACAAGCTTCTACCTTTGGAGGGTAAAGGAACCTAAGATGCTGGTGTTTTTGTACCTTGTGGTCTGCGTCCTCCAAAGATGATGCCCTCAATGGGGACACCCTCCTGGGACTCCCATTGGGGGTCAATGATGGGACACTGACTTGCTGGAGTGCAGAAGCGGGAATTGGGATGTGCACAGGGCTCACCTAGGGGAGAGAAATGAGGAACGGAAGTAGATTATCATTAGATACCTAATAGCTGAGGGCTTTGCAGCTCAATTACTAGAAAGCAGAAGGGTCATGTACCATCCTCAAGAGTCCAGGGTTTATTCTTCCAGGAGGTCAAGGTGACTCCCTCAGAAGGTTTCTGGTCCATGCCCTCCCAGTACACACCACCATCGCTGGTCTCACCTACATTGGTGAAGATAGTGTTCTTGCAAATGGTGGCCATGGCATTGGGATTTGTCTTTGTCGAAGTCCCCGGAGCCACACCAAAGAAGCCATTCTCAGGGTTTATGGCTCTCAGATTACCTGTAGACAGAGACAGAAAGCTTAGCGAACAGGGATCCTGGACTGACACTGCCGTCCCTACCAGGTGATCAGAGAAGCATTTGCATGGACGTATCTCAAGAGGGGTACTAATGGTGACCTCACCTTCCTCATCAAATTTCATCCAAGCAATGTCATCCCCAACACACTCCACCTTCCAGCCAGGTAGAGAAGGACATAACATGGCCAAGTTTGTCTTTCCACAGGCACTGGGGAAAGCAGCAGCAATGTATTTCTTCCTGCCCTCAGGGTTAGTGATGCCCAAGATCTGAATGGAGAAACAGAGAAGTACGTAGAAAATGATCAAGTCATGGCGATCCTTTGACAAAGATTTGCAGCATGTTGTAGGGTCATGGGTCGCTATAACTATCCCAGCCTTTAACAAACGCTGGAGGCTCACTCACCAGCATGTGCTCCGCCAGCCAGCCCTCCTCCTTTGCAATGCGGGAGGCGATCCGCAGTGCAAAGCACTTCTTCCCCAGGAGGGAATTTCCACCGTAGCCACTACCAAAGGACACAATCTGCCTCTGGTCTGGGATATGGGCCACGAGGGTGAGCTCGGGGTTACAGGGCCAGTTGTTAACCAATGGCTCTGTGGAAGGAGAAGCCCTTTCATTCACTCAGAATATCGCCAATAAATATCTAGACTAGCCTCATGTTAGTTTGATGCATGATGATTCATGTGAAGATTAGTCTAGTTTGAAAGGTAGTATGAGTATGAATCAAAGGGTGAACACAGGTTTTGTGATACTCAATAGCACTCTGCAGTTCCCTCATGGACCAGATAATTCCACATCTGAGCAGAGCCTTTCACTTCCCATGTTCATGTTTCACAGCCTACCTTTGAGTGGTAGGGCGCAACCAACAGAGTGGAGACAGCGCACAAAGTCTCCATCTCCCAGGGCCTCCAGGACGGCCTTGCCCATGCGGGTCATCACGCGCATGCTGACCACCACGTAAGGAGAGTCGGTCAGCTCCACACCAATCTTGGATAAGGGAGAGCCCACAGGACCCATGCTGTAGGGGATGACATACATGGTCCGTCCTACGAAATTGGATAAAGAAAAAGAATGTATATTGACGCACACATGGTTTCTGGTGTTGAAGACGTCACTGGCCATATCAAGAGCTCTTCTTGTATCCGCAATAGTGCTCAGTCTAGTGTTATTCAGATATACAGGTAACTCTACATGAGCTGATTTCATTAGCATCTAGCTCATTTCGTCATCATTATGGCCACTTTGTGAAAATTGCCCACTTTGAGTCGAAATGCACCTTTCATGCAGCCAGGAAAGCGGAGGTTCATGGCCTTGTCAAACTCTTCCTGGGACATCCAACGCCCCAGCTGGCTGCTGACACCACCATGTGGAGAAGGCACCGTGTCCCTCTGCTCTTGTGTCACTATCACTGTCTTGCTCTCGACTCGAGCGACGTCACGTGGATCCGTGCGTGCCAGCCAGCTGTGAAAACATGATGGGTCAGTGTATCATATCACCATTGATATGACTTGATCCAGGGCTATATCACATCTGCTACCTCCAGCTAGCCTTGCACACTGTTATATTAATGACAGCACCCCCCCCCCCTCACCAATCCAGAAGTACTGCATACCAGTTCTCATATTTCGGCAGCTTCTTGATCATCTTCTGCTCCTCCAGCTCCGCTAGCAGGCACCGGTTCTCCTCCTCTGAGCCGTCACAGACGTGTACGGCACTGGGCTGGCACAGGGTGGCGCTGCTCTCAATAAACTCCCGTAGTGCTGGGCTTAAGGATGCCAAGTCCCCCTGCAACACGAGACGGCCCGGCTGGTTCTGGGACTGGAGTTGGGGCGGCATCGTCCTGTTGGGTTCTGTGTTTTGTTGCTTAAGGTGGAATTGCTGTGACGAGCCTTACGGGGTCCTGTTGGGTAAAGAAACCGCATTCACTCATATCCTTTTCATAGCGCACCTTAAACCTGATAAAGGTGTATATATTAAAGGCACATGTAAGTACACAGATTGATGGGTATACCATTATATGACAAAGCTGTTTTTAATAAGACTTTAAAAACTACCAAACCTCATAAAGCAATTACAAGACCATAATCAAGATCATTTATGATTAATGAGAAAATGTATACAGTGCATTTTTGTTTCAAAAAGCGCAGTTAATGCAAGAATGGCTCAATATATGAATAACACTTAGGAAAATATTATTTCCACAACTTCATATGGAAATCGGAGATCGATGAAAACAAGCCGCAGACAATTTATAAAGAAACCAGATTGAAATGTTACCTTGTTCTCTGTGGGTCTTTTTCAGATCAGACTAGTTCATTAGTGATGATGGTCAGCTTCTTTTTCTTGCATCCTGTGCAGCCAAGTATCCTTTATATAGTTTTGAAAAGCAGACGGGGGGGGTGGGGGGGGGGGGGTGTATATGTGTGTGATGGTACTACAAGCCGGTACACCTCTGGAACTGGAAAAAACTCATTGACGAGTGAATCATTAAGCTGCGGAATATACGTAATGGGTCAGTTAATTATTTAGCCAGCTGTCTAGTTCTTTTCACAATAGAAAATAATTGACAGAACATCAAGAGGCTGAAGTGCAGGAAGAAACTTCAATCCAGCCTCATGCGTGACGCAAAGCCTCTGCTCGGTGTGTCAATGGGCGACGTCCCGAAATCCGCACGCCAACAGCTATTGGCTGAGGTGCCAGAGGCTTGTCAGACTGGCCCTCACATTGGCTGCCTGTGGTAGCATTAGAAGAGGTTTTCTGCTTACTGATCCAATCAATAAAGAAATTTACATCAGGATATCATTCGCTAAGGCTATGACGTTCATCGGAGCATTGAGGATTAATACAGGGTTGATCTGAGATCACTCCATCCACTAACACAAGACCAGAAGTATAAATTATTTTGATGAAAGTTTACGCTTTATTATGAAGTTATGAATTGTGCGCCAGTTAAGGTATTGCTAAAAACAATAAAGATAAAGAGTTTAATGGATGAGTTATAAACCACAAGACCTCATGAAAGGTATGCTGCTAAAAATATTACAAACAAGTTTTCAAAGCATGAAAATGAACAACTGATAACACTTGGCTGATATGAACTGGCTTTCGTGACATACTGACTGAACAGCCTCAGATGGGAACACACTGTTCTAAGGTGCCCGAATCAAATTGTAACATCAAATTGTAACATGTACAGTATGTATCACGATAACCCCTGATGCGAGGGCTCCTATTTTGTCTTTATGTTTCTGTGTCTCATTGTGCACAATGCAAAACTGTTTCATAAAATGAAACAGGATCCAGAAGGTAGAAGTTTCATAATTGAATGATCTGAACGCCAACCAAATTAGGGGCGGATTGTGGCTCAGCGGGCTAAGCCTCTAAGCCTGTGATCAGAAGGTCACCAGCCTGACCTTGGCAGAATACCTACATGTCAATGGGCACTTGAGCAAGGCACTTAACCCCCAGTTCCAGGGGCTCTGCATGCTGGCTGACCCTGACCCCCAATTCCCCACAGGGATTAATAAAGTATCACTATTCGGCAGATCATCATTTATTCTAAAGTCGACTTATCTTCAAAACACTAAAAATAAATACTTGAACTATTCAAGTGAAATATTAAATAGCTAAAAAAAGCCACAAACATTATGGCACACAGTATAATTAATGTACATTCTGGTCTTATGGTTTTCCATTTCCATTTTCAGTGGCATTAAATAATAATTTCATGAGCAATATATATATATATAGCTCATATATATCGCTGTGCTCAGTAAATGGCCAGATGATGAATAGATAGAATCATTTTTTAGGCCCACTGACCAGACTGAAAAGTAATGGCAGAACAATGTTCTGTTTTCTGGACACTGGATCTGTGGAAGTTTGAGACAGTAGAGTTATGTCCTAACAGCATGATGTGCAACAAAAATTAGCTTAAATGTGGGATACTTTTGAGATGTGGCACATTTTCATTGTGTACAATACTTTCTTCTTTATTACAAGCAGATTATTACATGCATAAACACAACTAAAACATCCGTAAGTAATATCTTGCTTCAGTGAGTTGACGTGTGTGTTTACTGTTTTTCTTGCAGTGCTGCAAAGACAGAACATCACTGGCGCAGCCTGTGACCCTGACCTGGATCAGAGGTTGGAAGACGAACACCTGGATGGATCATTGGTGCAGATGTATTTGCACTGAAGTGAGGGAGACTTCTTTAAAAATTAACTGCATGTTGTCATGAACCTTCTCAATTTATCTCAGAACTTCACCGATTCAAGTAGTAGGGATGTTTTTCAGGTTTAAGTCTAGCTGACAGGAACATCGGGGTGTTTGTGCAATTCAGCTGTAAGAAGCTGTAAGAATACGTAGATAGCACAACACGAGCAAACAAGTCCGTGGACCACTGGGGCAAAGTGTAACTGACAGTAGGGATCGCAGTGGACCAGGTTTCTAATTTCTCAAATGCTGTGAGAACAGGAGAGTGTGGCCGTTAGCAGTCAGCTTTAAATGGTAGCCACAGAGGAAACCGGTCATGGTTTTGTGAAGCAAACTTGGTTCCATTAAATATAGCATACATTTACATATACACCGATCAGCCATAACTCAAAACTACTGACAGGTGAAGTGAATAACATTGATTATCTCATTACAATGGCATCTGTATTATGGCTCTGGGAAAAAATGAGACCACAATTTTTTGTTTCACTCATTTCTCAATTTATGAGTGTGTGTCTCTAAATTATATGGGGCAGTGTGTGGCTCAGTGGGCTAAGCCTGTGTGCTTGTAATCACAAGGTCGCTGGTTCAAACCCAGCCTCAGCATGTCTGCAGGTCCTTGAGCAAGGCCTTTAACCCCCAGCTCCCTGGGCGCCACTACAGGTGGCTGCGCTTTGCAGACAACTTGCTCAACAAAGAACAAGTTGATGGAGGTATAAAAAGAATTTCCCCATGAGGGACAATAAAGGTTCAATTATTATTATACATACATGCACACACACACACACACACATACATATATACAGTATGCATATATATATATATATATACACACTGCAGCCTGCTTGCATGTTTCTCATTAATGAAGGGTTTCTCCCTTGCTATATGAGGCTTTAGTCCTGCTTCTAGGAGTCTGATACGATCACAACTTTCTGCATATGGGGCTGCATAGCCACAGATTGGTCAGAGTGCCCATGCTGACCCATGTGCATGTGCATTATTCACCTGGGGGTGAGGTGTCACCAGGATTCACTACAGGAAGAAGGCAAGCCAGCAGAGGCAGTGTGATGCTCTGGGCAAAGTTATACTGGGAAACCTTGGGTCCTGGCCTTCATATGGATGTTACCTTGACATGTACCACCTACCTAAACACTGTTGCAGACCAAGCAACCGTCATGGCAACGGTATTCTCTGATGGCAGCAGCCTCTTTCAGTAGGATAATGGCTCTGCCACACTGTAAAAATTGTTCAGGAATGGTTTGAAGAACACGAAAAAGAGTTCAGGGTGTTGAGTTGGCCTCCAAATTCCTCAGATCTCAATGTGATCAAGCATCTGTGGGACGTGTTGAACAAACAAGTCTGATCCATGGAGGCCCCACCTCACAACTTAAAGGATCTGCTGCTAACATCTAGGTGCCAGATACCACAGGACACCTTCAGAGGTCATGTGGAGTCCATGCCTCAGAGGGTCAGAGCTGTTTTAGCTGCATGAGGGGGACCTACACAATATTAGGCAGGTGGTTTTAATGTTATACCTGATCAGTGTTGACTGTGCAGACATTGTGAGGGAGAGGTGCTCAAAGGCTGCTCAGGCGTTAGTCCTTAAACTGCATTTTAAACTTGTTTTGCAACTGTGAAAAGGGTTTTCTTCCTTGCATCTGATTTTCTGCTTGTCTGCATATTTATGACATGAATGATAGCAGATCTTCAACAAAACATTAAATAAAATGGAACCCAGATAAACAGCATATGTTTCTAAAAGAGATGCACCACCTGAATTCATGCCACCTTTATGACAAAATGACTTCAACCAATTGGATCCTGTCATTACTGATTAAGATCTCACCATACCACTGGGGACGTTTTGACTCCCTCCTGCTTCAGCTCAGTGATATTTGGGCTGAAACTGCTATTTTCCCGTCTTGCCACAACCTCAAGATTTACTTCTGGACTTTCATAAGCCATTAGAAAAAGCTCCCTGTCTTCACCGATTCTGTTGAAAATCTCCCAGGGTTTTTCAGATGACACTCCAGCTGCATGATATGAAGGCTGTGCAGCAGTGCTTCCCTATCCAGGCCTAGGAGACCCATAGTCCGTCCATGTTTTTGCTCCATCCAAGCTTCCTTCCAGCTCCCAGAGTCAAATGGTCATGGACTGTCTGTGGGTCTCCGAGGACCAGATCGCCCTATAGCTTCAGCCTACAAAGGGATTAATTTATATTCTCTTACAGAATTCTCTCACTACTTCAATGAAGGTATGCAGCTCCTGGCGTTTATGCTATGGGATGCAGGCTTTGGCTTCAGCCACACAGAATAATTGCCATGTCAGCTAAATAAAAGTCATTTATAATCCTTGTATAAAGAATACCGAAAATAAAAGAGATTGTTTTTGGGAAGATGGGACAATCATTCATACTCTTTGTGAGAAATGTATTCCAGCTTGCTGTTTGCCTGTGGACAGTGTTTATAATTCCCAAGTAAGAGAAGTGTGCCCATCTTTAGACATTTGGCATGGTCATTCGCTTAACATTTTTTTACTCTGCACTTTGAGAAATTTTGGCAAGACAGCTACTGCTTGGAACATTCAGAAATGTCCCATGCGTCCTGTTTGAATAATACTGTGAATCTAGTGTTGGTGGCTGGAGCCCCAGAGCTTCTGCATACTACAACAAACTACAAAATGGCCTGACAACACTCAGCGTGAAAAAAAAAAGTACAAAAATGCCAAAAATTAACCTGGAGGTGTAGATTTTTTAATGGTAGCCAGTCAGCGATTGGCTGACCCTGCTTTCTCAATTGTCTAAGTAGATATAGTGCAAATGTACAGAAGTTTAGTAAGAATTGTATTATATATCGCCTGACATGTTCAGGGATGCATATAACTGGTGCGCAAGTAAAGCAGGCGTAAGCAATACACATGGCAATTTCTTGTTGTGGAGGTGCAAATAAAGTACACGTTAGCTGTATAAAGGTTAAAATGCACGGTTTCTTGTCATAATAGCACAAATGCACATAAAATAAGTATGTATTTGTAAAAAACTGCCACGCATACATGGCGAATGCTTACTTGCACACCAGTTATGTGCATCTCTCTAGCCTACAGGTAAGGATCAGACAGCAGGGTCATACAGACCCTGCATTGCGGTGTTTGTCAGCAGTGTGTTTGTTCAGACCGTGCATGTTTCTTCCACACATATCTTGCAGTGTCTGAGATGGAGGGTATATTAGTCCTTTGGACCCAAATATGACATTGTGCATGTGGCAGATGATCAGAAGGAAGTGGTTCACAGATGGACTTGACCACAGTTTGCACCCTTCATATATAAAAGCATAGTTACTCTTTGTATTGTATAAAGTCAGCATGCTTGGGGTCAGGGGGGTGGGCAGCCAGACGACTTTGGACCCCTCAGAAGATTTTTTATTCTTACTGTCTTATGGCCTTTCCCTTTTTCCTGTATTATGCATAATTTAGCACAATGAAAATAACGACCCTTGCTGCACTTGTTGAGTGCCTTGGGGAAGTGTTGCGAAAGGAACTATATAAAAATATATTGAATTGAAATACGACAGTTGGGACAAGAATAATAGTTTTATACAATGTAATAATATTTTTTAAACATTGTAACTTAACCAAATGATATTGTAGCTATTTACAAACTATAGTTATTTAAACCCATAGTATAATAATACAGTCATATCATGTGTATTTTTTGGGATTGAGTTGAGTTAAAAAAGTAACGCTAGTTAAAGTTGATACTGAACCACTTTAGCCATTTAGAGGCACTGCGGCCACTTCAGTGGAGAGTGTGAAAACCGGCCGAACAGAACAGCAGCTCTCGGGATGAGATGAAGAAGTCTGAGCACATATTGACATGAAATAAGTCAGATGTAGCCAGGCCTTGAAACAGAAGCCAACCACTAGGAAACCACTTCCCCAGGGAAACATGTACATCCTACTATTTGCTAAAAGTGTCGAGAGAAAGCAAACTAGCGGTCCAAGTTGACAGAGGGTAAAGCAATTATTTATTGAACAGAGATGCACACGTCAAGAATGTGTAACTGGGCGGGAATAGGAGTGTAAGGTTCTGGTGGTGAAGGGACACCCACATTTCAGCAGATCTCCCTATTTACTGCCTAACTGAAGGACTTTTACTGCACTGTGCCATCACTAAATGACACAAATTCATGACGCGTTCCGTATTGCTTCCACTGAAGCCATCACTAAGAACCCTGCACACCATCTCCATTACACTCCATCCTGGAACACCTTTAGCCCCTGGATCATTCCACTACAGTGCTGCAATTGCACTACTCAAAGGTTGCCACTGTGTGCGACTTAATTCCCATTTAAGAGATTATTGTAGTCTATCAATATATCTTACAAAAATAAAGTTCCTAAACAAGATTCTCTTTTTGAGGTAAATACAGGACTTGATTTTAGGCATTTTGTTTACAAAGAGAACTTACACCAGAACAAGGGTTTGTGGCTCACAGACCCAATCCTATAGTGCCACCTGGTGACAACTAAATGAACATGTACCTTACATAAATGTGTTCATAACATAAATTGTTATACATTCATAGCTTACCATATAAACGTCTGTAACTACAATTATAAATATCAGATTAATTTTGCAGAAGACCACATCTTACACATACAACCGAACTGCGTTACAAACGACAAAACCGCTAATTGAACCTTCCAAGCTGTCCGGTGACGTAGATCCTTCGTCGCAGAGTCCGGCTCGACATCAGAGGCCCGTGTTTTTAGTTCCGACCGCGAAGTCGCATGGTTTCCTGAAAAACGGCAACATGAGCGACGATAACTCCAGTTCTGACTGTCGGATTCCCCTGAGGAATCTCGTCAACCTCGTCCAGTGCGTCCGAGACCGAGTGAAAGGTACAAGTTGCGCGGAAACATTAATTTGTGCGGTGATGTTGACATGTCCATAGCCTTATTCCTGGAGTAGTTCAGAGGGCCGGATAAGTTTATACTGTATACCTATGACCGCACCTCAGTCCGATTTAAAAATCGTTTCCTACTGTGGCGTCGTCATTAAACGAAATTAACAAGGTAACATAACTATTGTTGTGTTATGGTTGTTTTGTATTCTGACTGGTTAAATTTGTAAGCGTCACCGTCACATGCAGTTCGGTTAGCGTTAGCTTGTTAGCTACCCCCCCTTCGCATCACTGCACCTTACCACATATTACTAATCCGGACTAATAAGGTTTTTTTAATAAGGTCTTTGTAATGTGAGTTCGTTTGAGTCCTTTTTTAGTGTATTGCTATAGTGTAGTTGTTACCTCAGGAATGGGAGTATAAGCTAAACTTCGCAAATGCACATATAACAAAAAAAAAGGGTGAATGTAAAACTACCGAATTTTACCTATGGATTATACCTATGGAACTGTAACTGACTAAAACTAGTCACTTGAAATGCTTGTAAATTTTGCAGTTATTGAAGATAAGGTGTCTAAGAGGGCGGGATCCCATGTTGTCCCTTACTGATATTGAAGTATCGTCATCCTGCAGTCGAAAATGTGCCGCGCCAGTTCGTGTAAACACATTCCTGCCATCAGTATTTTTATTTATTACTATTATATGCTCTAATTATGAGTTTCCTCCGTGCCGATATTTAATTAAGCGTTGTGAGAATGACGGCAAAGAGGATGCATGACGTTCAGTCCATTCCTTAGAGCTTTGGATGGTATCAGTAGTTGACGTTGTGGATTCTGTTGTTTTTTTACGTCGTACATATTGCACTATGAATTTATGCACCATGAATCCTAAACACTGAACCACCTAATATAAAGACAAACGATACTGGAGATTTACTTTATTGATCCAGTGAATGATTCCCCCCACAGACGGAGAATCAAATGAATCACATGGGGATTTTAACCTGCCTAACTTCTGGGAAACGCTAGGTTGAGTATCATTAATTTTTACTTCATAATATCAAATGACCTGTTTTAATTTGTGCTGGAAATATTTTTCCACCATAATCTAACCTAAAATGTATTTGTCATCTGTGGCAACAGCTATTTTATCATATGTTTGATTGGATGAACTGTGTCTTCGGTCACTTCTGGCAGTACCATACACGGTAGTTTTTAAATATTTTAATACTGATGGTTTTGTGCATGTTTAAGCATGTTTCTGCTCTCAACAATGACAGCTATAATTTATCAACACGTTTAAAGGTGCCAGAGGTCAGTTTACGAAGTGTGTTATGATGCACATGCAGAAATATCAAAGAACTTGAAATACAATTGTGGACAGACTTTTTGAGCTTTTCTGGGCATTGATGCAGATGGTAATTGATAGACCTGATGGTATTGCTTTGGGTGTCCCTTATTAACTATGTGTTGCTTGCCTATAAGGAGTGTCGTCATGTCCCCCCCCCCCTCTCTTCCCAGCACAAGCTGCCAAATCCACTTCACAGGAAGCCACGAAACTTAGCCTCGCATTCTCCAAGCCGCCGCTGCCGTCAGAGCAGGTGGACTGTAATTCATTTATGCTTATTATGTAAAAAGTCTGATTAAATGGGGGAAAAATACATCATGTTTTGGGTGTTGATGACAACTATGGAGAAAATGGATGTTGGTCAGTTTTGAAATAATTTGCACTGAAAGCATTTTGGTTTTGTGTTTTTTTTCCTGTCTGCAAAATAGTTCTAATCTGACATGTAATCTCTTCTTCAACATACCTGTCTGATTGTGTAGCAGCTTCATATGGGTGGTGATGATAATCTAGTTCAGCTCATAATGGCGGTGGGGCATGTGTGAATAAACGCACATGAACGTACAGTAACACCCCGAGTGTGAAGATCACGGCGTTCAACCACATCAGAAGAGCAGCACATGGTGCTTTTACCTTAAGCCTTTTTGGTTTTTTTTAGGATGCAGAGAAGATGGCAGAATCTTTCCAGAAGAGTATTTTGGCCCTGTCTACAGTCTACATGTGGTTTCCTAAAAGCCAAGGTCTGTTTGGGTGTCTCCGGGTGGAGCTTCAACAAAGTACCAAAAGTAGGGTACTTCAGGGTATTGTTTTCCATTGGCTTAAAAACTCATACCGGCACTGAATGACATCACAATGCGAGGCGGGTTATTTTGTACTGAATTAGAAAAATGGCTGTAGTGTATTATAGGGCTGGATGATGTGTGATATTAATAGCAATGTTGTGCACATGCAATTCATACTTCCATTCGTCTAGATTAAGATCAGGCTTTTTCTTGCTTTCAATTTTGTATAGGGACATTATAGCGGAGGGAGTTTGTATCACTAAAACATTTTTATTCTGTCATAGGAAAAAAATGATCATGTTTTACAATTTAAATGATTAATTTTCAAGATTATCTGATATATGTTTGAAAATCAGTTTAAAGGTTACCTCCCCTGCTTTTACTTTAATGCTGCATACATTCTCTGTGACAATTGTAATCATTTTCATTCTTGCTGTTAAATCACTCCTAGATGGGTTTTTCAGAAATTTATGTTGAACTCCTTGTTATACATATATAACCCCAATATTTATTACAACAAAATCACATTGCAATACTATAATTTTTCCAGTACCATGCTGTCCTAGTGTATTATACAAAATACTTTATTTCTTGTTATACTATCCTGAGATCTGGTTCTGCCGGCCAGATCGCAGTTAAATCTTCGGTCGCTTCATTTGTCCACGCATCCATTATTATTATTATTCGTTTACCTCATTTATCGTTGTTTTCTGAGTTGTATTGCATTTCAGAGGCAGGCGATTTGCATAACCAATCGACAAAGAAAGCATTTCAAGTCCCACCCCAAGTACCAAAAAGTAGCCCACTGGCACTTTTGGTACCGGAACTTTTGATATGGCTGTTCTGATTACCCTCACTGAATGGCCAGATGAGCGTTTCCTTTCTGTTGTCAGAAGTTGACATGCTGGTCCTGGATCAATCATACATTTGGCACAGTCATGTTTTGTTGTGTTTCCTTTTGCAGTTTAATGAGTGGAATAAATGTTTAAATTTAAGAAGAAAAATTGTTACAGAGAATTGTGATCTCAATTCTAAGCAAAAGAATCGAGATTCACATTATTTTCAGAATCGTGCAGGCCTAGCCCAGGGGCACATACTTACCTCTATCAGCAGAAATATTGTAAAGTAAATGAGTATTTTTATACTGAATTGGCAAAGAGGAACCTTTGTCTTTACCATATTGTTCTATTAATAAACTCTTGAGTGTTATGGCATTAATTACATTTCAGTTATAATTTAAAATATGATGCTCTGTACCAATATTTCTTTGGATGAACGTTTTGTGTTATGTCTTGGTTCATAAGATCGATGATATAGTGAGGTTTCTTCTCTGCAGGCATGACACTGCGCAGAATAATCCGAGACGCCACAGCGCAGGTTCTGGAGGGGGTCGTACAGCTGATAGACGTCATCCTCAGCACACCCCTGCAGAGGTAACGGTGCCCGCATGTAAGCTGCCGTTGAGCTGATGTGTCCTCTATGTGTCTGAGTCTCCTGTGCCGTGCTTCATCCTGCAGCCTATCGCAAGAACAGCTCACCTCTACAGGTAGTGTGTGGTCATCATGCGACCAGTTTGCTCACCTTCCTAAAGGTGAGTGCAGTTCGACGCTTTTCCATGTGACTGCGTTTTTCAGCGTTTTGTTTGTGATCAATGACATTTATTGACTTGCAAAAAGCTTGGGAGGTAGGTAGACAAAACTGCCATTAGAGGGCAGTGTTTTGATGCTGTCGGAATAGTTCATCACAGAACCTAATCACCTGATACAGTTTAATGCAAGTACATGATGATAAAGATGCAACCATTCTAAGTCCGGCTTGTATAAATTTATGTTATTGGTCACAAAGGGAAAACTTTGACCATTCACTTTTAACTTCTGTCTACTAAATAATTGGTACTTGAGTAAATGTACAGTTGGAGGGACCTGAAATGTCACATGACCGGGTTTACAAGTCTCTCCATGCAGATAACCAGGCTGCGGTGCTCAGCTTGTTGACCTCTCACATTGCTGTGGTGAAGGACGCCATAGAGGAAATGGAGCAGGTCCATCAATTTCCTCCTTTTTTTCATGGCAAATTTTGATGTCTATAGACTTTATTTTGAGAAGGTGTTAGTGTGGCTTCCCTCCATGGGTGATGGAAGCATGACCTATAAAGCACAGCATCATTCTTAGTAGCTTAAATCAGTGATTGGTGTTTGATTAACCTTCAGATAGCCTTAAGTTAACATGACTATGTTTGCTGATTTAGCTGATAAGGCCTTGCCCCGCTGGCTAGGATTAACCCTCTGGGGTTGACGGCATCGTCGGCGACGCCGCGTATCTTTCTCGTGTATTTCGGTTTGCTGAAATCTTATTATAGAAACATGGAAAAAACGCGGACTAAATCCGTAATCTTTTCAAAACGTCCATTGTCGGAAGTATTAAAGTTTTAAAAATGAGGTATATTTACCATGATTTAAGTTTATGGTATTGAATGAAATGTGTGACCATGCCCCAGTCAGTGAAAGTGTGTTCCCTACCCCTAGACCCCAGAGGGTTATATGACACATCGGGGAGTGTTAGAATAGTTCATTCCCGGCGTTAGCTGGACAGAAAGGAAATTCACCATCTCTGCACATCTTCATTCCCTTTATACAATATTCACCAGTGCTAGTCAATAGGAATGCTAGTGATTTTCTGTAAACACAGCAGTTGCTGGCGTTCACTTTTAAGATCATGTAATCTTGACTGGCTTTCTTGGCCATGTTTACCAGGCACAAACAGAGGCCCTCGACCCCTTTAGTGACGTCTTGGATGATGAGGATCTGGACTCCCGGGGGAACCGAGACACCTACTGGTCAGAATCGGACCGGCAGCTCATGGCCCCGTGTCGGGGCCTGATGAAGGCGTCCGCGGCGTGCCTGCGGAAGCTGACTGCTGCCGTGAAATCTAATGGCAACGTGAACAGTTCAGAGACCATCGCGCAGCTGGATGACCTTGCTGACATCACCAAAGACATAAGCCCAAGGTCAGGCCGATTGTTAGTCCTGTCTCAGCTGCAATGTGTGTAAAATGTCTATGGGGACCCCTAGTTGTAGCTGTTTAGTGCAGTATAAATATGTATGGCCTTCCTCAGAAAAATCTGTTTGAAGATGCATAGATTAATATACCAGGTTTAAATATGCAAATATATATTTCCCTATCTTCTTAACCATTAGCCACTCCATTTAAAAAAGGGCCTATGCAGATTTAATTAACTTAGATTAACTTTCATTGTTATTTAATCACCTGCGATATGTGCATGTTGTTGCACAATCCAGGTGTGGCCCTGATGAGCAGTGGGAATGAGCACACCCTGCTGTTATGCCTGTTCTCCATAACACATCTCTGTTTCCATACGAACACCTGATTTCATACCTGCAATTTGTAGGTGTGGCATATTTTCCATAGATACAGCTGAATGACTCAATAAAAGGAAATCATGTGTTTGAATCAGTGGGACAGCACACCTCAAAGGAATGCCCTCATCATTAGTCTGAACTCTAATGATTTAATATGAAAAATGGCAAGTGTTGAATGGAAATCTAGTATAGGTGCAATGCAGCCACCAAAGTGACTTATAAATTAATTTAAAGCTACAGCCTTTTTTATAAGTAGATATGTAGAACATTGTGTGGACATAATGGTTTGTAATTCAGTGCCAGGTCCAGAACAAAATCACTGAAGGTACATCTGAAATTAATGAAGGGGCCCAGTTCTCATAATCATGGTGCAGTCGTGTTCTGATTGACTTCCACACTTGTAAACCCAAGCTGTACACTTGTAACCCAAGCAATTTCCACTTGTTCCACACTTGTAAACCTGTTATCATTTATATAAACAAACCTCATTTAATATTATAATGGTGCTCAAAAGCTGTTCAGTATTTTTAGGAGTGAGAGGTTAGACACCATTGTCAAGAAACACAAACATTCCATTAGACTTGATGCATTTAGTAAATGACGTTTTAATTCTGTTTCCCTGTTAGTGTTGATGATCTTGCCCTCAGTCTTTACCCACCAATGGACTACTCTGGAGTGCAGCAAAATGTAAGTCTGGAAAGAAATGTTTTCAAAAGTAGCAACTTTCCTTTCATCCAGAGTCCTTAGTAATCTCCAGATGTGTGTCAGGCTCCCATAGCTGCCTTGAAAGCAGGGTATGCACCTGTGATTGGCAAGTGTCGTGGAGTATTCGGGCGTCTTGTCTGTTCCACACGTGCTGCACTGTGCAGGTAACAAGCACAGATAGGCACAGCAGCCGGGCAGGAAGCGTGTTTGTGCCAGCTAGCCAAGATGAAAGACCGCTTTGGGGTGTGATGGTGCCACCTACACTGCAAAACTTCCCGTCTCTAGTTGCTGATGAATACTGTCTCACGTTTAGGTTCCACCCATTACTTTGGAACTGGTACCATTTATTATTTCACTTTGTCGAATTAGTTGAATTTTTGTGGTCTGGTTTTGGAAAGAAAATGTTAGTATTTAGTAATTGATTCAGACACTAAGGATTTGTGTAAAGTTTGTTTTTCTCAGAAGGAATAACAGCAGCAATAATAAATATGTTTCCAGGCATGCAAGGTGGCGGGCGTATTGGTGAAGGTGCTGGAGATCACCAGGTGGGTGTGTTACGGCGCCATGGCGGCGCTGCACCTCATCTCACATTCAAGTGGCCATTCAGGCCGCCGTGCGACACCGACGCCCAGCCCGGTGTACGTGAGAGCGATGCCCGCCGTGTTTTTGTTTTCTCTCCTGTGGTAACGTGGGAACCTCTCCAAGCGGTGATTTCATCCTTCACTCCTGAAATGCACCTCTTTTTTTTTTCCCCTTTGCCCCGTCCCTGTTTCTCAGAGCAAGTCACGTCTGCCTGGAAGCCGACCAGAGCTGGGTGGAGTTTTTGAGTGGAGCAGTCGACCACAACCTGCAGAAAGTTGGCGCTTTGGCGCAGGGCTGTGGCTGACACAGACGCAGACTCGGCCTCAGCCTGCCCAAGACGCTCGATTTCCGGGGATTGTGTGATGTAATCCTGAATGCTTCTCCTCTTCTGAACTGTGCCTGCATGTGGGATGACTGAGAGCTTTTGCGAATATGACAAGAGTCTGACAGTAATAAATATTCACAAAATCGGGGGAGTATTCGGGTTTATGGTAGCAGCCTGTGGTGTTCACAGCTTCAGCTAATAATATAAATATATATATAAAAAACATATATGAAACCTGTCTTTTCATTTTGTAGTATCAGTATACACAAAAAGCAGCCATCTTTTGTCATTGCACAAAACATCTTGTATTTAATCTTTTTGTAAACTGAAAACACATCTGTGAATTTCAAAAAAACAATGACCCAGTCATTTGACCCAGTTTGTGAGATTTATTTGTTTCTTTGTAGAGAAAGAGTACATTTGTCTCTGATATGCACATCACAAGTTGGTAGGCAACCTGCTTTGTAGAATCCAACCAATTCTTTGTTTGAGTCCGCTACGAGCTAAACCCGAGCTACGAGCTAAACCCGAGTAGCTATGTGCGCGGGTTTCACGTCGACGGTGATGCTCGTGTTGATGTCCGTGAACAAGTTGCAGTTGAAGTTGGCCACCAACTGCCTGGCACCAGCTTTGTATGGCACGAAGGGCACCAGCACTCGAATCCGAGTATTGGGTTTGATGGAAGGCAGGCTAGAGAAAGAACACATCCATCAAAACTTGACCTGAACAGGACATTAATACAGTAATATGTGATACTGTGCAAAGGTCTTAGGCAATCAAAGAAAACGTTTCAGTGATCTTCATGTTGGTGTAAAACTGATGTCTCAAAGTGTGTGAACTATTTTAAAACCCCTCAATCATCCCAATATTTGCAGCAACCATCCAATACACCCATGTATTTTTGACACGACTTCTAGGGCACTATTTTTTATTAATCAATAGCTAATTAAATTGAGTAATTTAACTAATTAGATTTGTTAAATTTCACTACCAATTCAATTAATTAACAAGTCCATGGAATGACTGGTGACCCATGGAAGAGGCTTTGGAACCAAAGCAGTCGTGTTCTAACCATCTACCAAGATTTCAGTAAATTGTTAGTTTTCATTGTGTTACTATTAACTTGCATATGTTCTAATCTTAAAATAAACCCTAATGTCTAAATGTTAAATGTTTCCTTGGACTGCCTAAGACCGCATAGTACTATGCAACCATAGCAGCAGACACAAAGCAACAAACAGGCATGCAGAGTAGGTTAATGGCGAAGAACCGTTTGTCAGAATATACAAACGCTCACTAAAACTTCTCTACCCAGGATTTTCATAATCAGCTAAGGAGTTTCAGAAACATTGTAGGTGATTCATTCTATGACCTATTTTACTTAGCTACAAGCTTGCTTCTGCCATAATCTACAGGTTGGATATCATACGCCCCCTCTGCCCTGCCTCTATGATAATGATTATGACGGCAAAGTAAGATATAAATTTTTGTTTTTTTGCACTTGGGAGATGAGTCTCACTGACTTGGTCTCCTGGACGTCCACCAGTAATCCAGAGCCGCTGACGGTGACCTTACAGTCTGTCAGTACCATAGAGACGGGGTTCTCAAACACCACCTCTGCTGTCATTTCGGAGCCCGGGTAGGCCATCCCCTTCGTCTGGAAGAAGAAAAGCCAAACTGCTTTGAAATTTCAGCTGCTGCTGTTTTGTTGTGTCTCAATAGCAGCTAGAAGTACAGTTAAAGTCACATTTGTTGAATCAAAACCACTGCTGTTTATTAAGATTTGCCTCATGAAGTAGGGAAATATCCCATAGTTATTATGACTGCCTTTATAATGTTTTAAAGACCTTGAAAATATTTCTTCACCAAATTTTTGTCATTACTAATGTTTACAATATATTTTTGCAGTTTCCCTTCTATTTTTGCTTTTAATCAAGAAACAAATATGACAACATAATTTTAGAAGACCTAGTGCAAACATACTTTCTAGGCTAAATCTTGTCAAGCTCTGAAATTGTTTGGCCTGTGTTTCCAAGAAGTCGAACGAGAGAAGACCACACTCACGGTTATGGTGAGTTTGGGGTTTTCTGGCACAATGTCTTTCTCTGTGTGGTAGCTGATCCCATTGTTATCCAAATCTGTTACGATAGCGTTCACTCTGATGATGTTCCTCCCCAGGAGAGTAGCGTAGCGTGGGTAGGCGATCTGAATGGGAATGCTCATCTCTGTGGACACAAAACGGGACACTGGTTTGGTTTTCAGGCATTAGTATTGGCCTTAGCTGAGTTCTTAAATCCTGACATAATTTATTCAGGGTTAAAGAAGATTCTTCCCTTTTTACAGAAGCAGCCAAATCCTGTACCTTTGCTTGAAAGCAGCAGTGTCTCCGGATCTTCGGTCCAGATAATTGCCCCAGGCACACCATTGTAGAGCATAACCTGAGCAAGCAGGTGGATTTGGAGCTTCTTGGATGCCTGGTTGCTATTGTTCAGAACCAGACTAAGGTTGATGTCCTTGCCGTTGATTGACTTGCTAACCTCTACTAACTTCAGCTGTAGGTTACGAGACCCAGGAGGTGAATTTGGCGTATTACTCAAAGGCTTGGTCCCTCTCTTCACAGCTTCTTTGTACACCTGCCTCTCCTTCTCTGTACCTGCACATAACATAACAATGATATGCTTTCATGATCAGTATCAAACCAAACCTATACAGTAATTATTCACATGACAATGCTTTGAGATTGTAGGCAATGATTGAGGTGAAACTTTTCAGCATCTCCACAGTTAGACCTACCCTCTGTGTATTTGTAGCTGGCTGTGATGTCTGATCTCTTGTCCATCCCAACCATTTTAGTGCTTATGTTCTGCCCCACTTCACATGTGTCTGAATTAAGCATTATTTTAGAGCCATTGGATAAAATCTTCCAGTTGACAATATCAGCGTTGACTTCAGCAAAGACAAAAGGAACGTCGTATTTGACGTCTACATGACCTTCCAGCACAGCTTTGACTGGGGCTGGTCCACAGCAGTACAGTCCTACAGGAAGGGAAAGCAGACTTTCAGAGGTTCTCATGGAGAAGCAGGGGCTCCAGTCAAATTACTGTTTGTTCAGATTTTTGTGTCTCAAAGCCACATTCACCTTGTGTCCTCTTGATATTGGTTAAATCTTTTATCTGATTTCCACTATATGGTCTACAATTATTTATTGGTTTTTGGGCAGCTAGTGATAAGTGTTTCTAACCCCTACATTAAACAATACATGTCGTTTGCCATATAGAGTTGAATAGACGATTGAATTTTTACTCTTGGCTACAATTTTTTGATAGCTATTATTAGGGTTTTAGACATAGGTGTGAAATGGAATGTGGACGACTTTGTACCATTGCTTGTTTCTTGGGGTGTGGGGTCCACCACCTGCCAACCATCATAGAAATCTCCAGAAAGGTCAGGGCGCCTCATCCAGGCCTCCACCCACACGTGGAAGTTCCTACATCAGTACAGAGTTAGGAGAGACTCAGGGGTCAAGTTAGGGGACAAACTTTTTGGTACTTCATGAATTGGTAGGATGTGTTGAGTTTTGCAGTGGGACAATCACCACACACTGTCGTTTTCAAGAACACGTCCACTCTCTGCGCGGTATTGGTCAATGACAAGATTACCGTCCGTGTCGTGGGCTGACTGGAAATTGGTGACCACTCGAGTGGGGATTCCCACGCACCTCAGAACTGCATTTGGAATTTGTAAATTAAAGTTGAATTAAATTATGTACAGTATTACACATACATATTGGGCATTGTGTAAATCCTGTTACCAGTTGCTAACGCATATAGAGGAATCAAATATATGCAGAATTCTTTCTTGAGTTGAGGGTACAATTTCCCAGTTATAAATACAGAATACAGTGATCCCCCGCTTATCGCGGAAGATGCATTCCAGACCAATCAGCGATAGGTGAAAATCCGCGATATAGAAAGACCATATAGATTTTAATTTTAAATTTATATATATATTTTTATAGTTTAAGCTTTAAAATACCCCTCCCACATGCCTTGAACACATGTAAACTTATTAAAACAACACATATGATATGTGGATGTTGGGCTAAGGATATGAGTAACATAATAATAATAATGGTAATAATAATAATAATATTATGTAATGTATACGTATGTGATTCCATTTTATCGATGGCTTTATTCCGAGAACATGCCACCCTCTTTCCTGTTTGATTAAAGGAAAGTGATGCGGTGGCTCATATTCTTTTCATCCTTCTTGATGTAGCGTACCGTCGAATAATTCAAGACATATTGGCGAGCGACGTCCGCGTAACGCTTTCCTTCCCAAAGCATATCCAGGAGTTTTACCTTCTCCTGAATGGTCAAGGTCCTCCTCTGGCGCTTAGGCTCACTACTACCAGAATGCTTAGAAGATGCAGGACACTTGGGAGCCGTCGTAGGGCTTAAAACAAAACGAAAACAATCGAACCACAAGCAAGGTACGCGATACGCAGAGAACCGTGACACGTCGGGGGAAAATCCGCGATATAGCGGGGGATCACTGTATATACTTCCTCCAAAAAGAAGACAGCTGCCACCTTCTCAACATACCTGTGCACAGGACCGCTGCAAACACCCAGCACTGACCATACTTCACAGAGTTGTAGTTCCTGGCCCACTTCCTTAGGATTTCCACACTGTTGTTCCAGGATGTTGGTACTGTGCCGTCAGAGAAGTCATCATCCCAATTGCCCACTATAACCCCTCCATCATCTTGGGCATTAATCTGAAAGGGGTGCAAAAGCAAGATATTTCTATATTATATTAATTTTATAGCTTTCTACAGCAGTGTGATTTTGTTGTGAATTTGCCCTAATAGTGTAGCAAGCAAACTGTTTTTATTTTTAAGACAAAGTTATTTTTGTACGTTTAACATATATATATATATATCTTATGGTTTCATATCTACTCCATCTTCTTTTTATTGAAGGCTTAACATTGAATGTGTCAATGTATTTGAAATCCTACGTCACTGTGTCCAAAATGCATGAATAACACAAGCCAAGACTGACCATTGCACAGAGCACTCTGCTGACGTAGATGGGGCTGCTTCGAGCAGAGTAGTCCTCCTCCTTGTTTCTCAGGCACTTGAGGTTCCTGTCCATGAGTTTCAGGCAAATGTCCACAATGTCCTGTTCAAACTGCAGAGCAAATGGTACATTTTGGTCAGATTTCAGAGATCATTTAGGTCCAACATACTCATGTATACAAATAGCTAAATATTAATGTTTCCTGTGGAGGGAATGAGGCTTTTGAACCTCTGGCAGCATAGGATTCTCATGCACTATCAGTCACTGACAGAACCACCTCACTTCTCACTGATTGGTTCCCATTGGCTTAAAACGGTCAATGATTGACAGCATGCAGAAGCCCCTCCCACCATGAGCTCCACAGCTTAATTTTTCTCATTGCTAAGTATGTGAGTTCGACGGGATTCTCTTTGCACCTGTCCAAAGGTCCATGTCTTAGGTAAGATGTAATCGCTAGATCCCATGTACAGGAGGCCGTGTTCACTCATCACATATTCCTGTCTGTCACTGTCCTGGAGCATGTATACTGAATCATCTGCCAGAGATGAAAAGAAGAGCCAGAACAAGGCAAATCCAGAGTGAAATTGAGTCCAGGCCCTCTCCAGGAGTTTGGTTCCAGAGTCCGAGCTGCGCGTTGAGGTGAACCTGACTATATCTAGTCGGTATCTCTCTACCTCCCACACCAGCTCAGGCTCCTTTCCCACCAGAGAGGTTACATTCCTTTCATGTGCCAAGAGCCAGTTTTGGTAGCCGGCAGTCAGTCCATTGAAGCCCCTGCCTTCGACTACCACCCGATCTACATTGCCCTTGACCCACACAGCTCCCCCTGCAGGTGAGAGACCCACAGGAGGGTACCTGACATTTGGTGTGCTAAATGGCAGGTAAGTTTAACTTGATACTCCTAAACTGAGTGTTAAATAGTCCTTGTGTCACTCCCCCCTCCTCCACCCTTACCCACACTGGGACTCACCTGAACACCAAGGATTAAACAGCAGGATAAACTTGTTATCACAAGTGAAGGAAGAGGCAGTCTTTATTCTCAGAGAATACTCCCCGATACAGGCTTCGGCTGGGCTGCTGACAGACAGCGTCACAGAGGAGACAGTCTTCTCCTGGATGCTGGCATTCCACAAATTATTCGCCAGCCCCGCAGGAGAGATCCTGAACATCGCCTTGGTCCTCAAAGCCTCAGAAGCCTGAAGACCTGATTGATGGTACAGAAAAATATTTACCTTTGCCAGGCCAAACAACTTTAATTCTATAACTAATTCTGTGAAAAATATACAAGAAAAATTAAATCCACATTTTGGTTGACATAAATCATAATTCTTGGCATTCTGTAGTCACTATACATCTGAAAATAAATATTTGTACATCTATAGTGAATAGTGAATTCACAAATACTACACACAGCTCTTTCCTGTTGTATTGAGCAGTTATATTTGTCCTTCCTGTTGCCTAAGAAGTTATTATCCCCTAACCTCTCTCAGGTGTCTTCAGTTCATTGCTAAACAAATATAAACATATTTTTATTTTTTATACAGTGATATTTTTTATCATTTTAATGATGAAAACACATAATCAGAGGTGAGAACAAAACTTAGTTGTTATAGGTCTATAATATGCTGCTGTTATCAAAAGTGAATCGTGGGGGGGGGGGCATTACAAGGGAGACTTTAAACGTGTTGGCAACAAGTAATTATTGCCAATCCAGGGTTATGCTTACTACTAGGCTGACTTTTTCCTTTTTTAAGCACAATGTACTTTAGACTGTCCATGGCAGTCATGACGACTTTCTGGGCTGTTATAACTGCACACCTATGTGTGCCTATAATATGCTGTAGTTATCAGGGGTCCCCTGGGGGGCACAACAAGAGAGACTTTAAAGGTGTTATCAACAAAGCAGGCTTAGGCTTACTATCTTTAACGAAAACTTAAAGCAGGAGTATTTTTCGGGAACAGAAATAAAATAAAATACATCTAACAAACTATAATTGACATAAAATAGACACAAACATCAGACATTTCTGTTCCCATTTTTAAATACTATTTTGCTTAAGTAGTGGCTTGATTATTTGATTTTCTTTACTGAGCATTTACAGTACCTGGAACAAATTTTGCTCATTTTGGAGACAGAACATAATGTGCACTGTTCATTCATGCAGGATTCTCTAAAGACAGATAAAAAGAGGTCTACAACTTTAAGTTTATCACTAAAAATACAACTTAGATAAAACGCTTTAACTGCAAGAAACTTTTGACCCTGCAAGTAAATAATGCATTTGCAGCAGGTTGTTGGCTTAACATACACAAAATTTGACCAGGTTTTTGCCAACATAATTTAGAATATTTTTATAAGACATAAGGCAAATGTGGATGAACAGTGGTCATGAAGACATAAATTGTCTTATAAAATTATCCAGTTATGTTTATTTACTGAACTTTAATTCGACTCACATTCCTAAAATCAGGGAAGGTTGTCTGAAAGAATTATGCAATTTCCTAACTGTTAATCTCTGCTGATCATCAAAGGTACGCCATCATACCCTTAAAAACCATGTGCAGCAGAAGGTCAATGTTTAGAAAATACATTTATTAGCCTTCTCTGTGAAAGCTTTTGAGCTGTAGTAAAACTATTCATGTGCAGGTAAATAAATAGTGTTCGACACTCCTCCGTCTATTTACAGGCTGCTAATTGAGACTGTTATTGAAACATTATTGTCAGGGGTGCAGGACAGAGACAGGAGACATATTTAATGCTTCATTTTGTTATAGGTTATTTTAAGGTGTAACCAATATCACCCAAATCAGCCAAAAGACTCCCTACCTGTTTGTACCGTGAACTCCAGCTTGTCGAGAGCTGACATGTCAGCTGTTTTCATTTGGAGAGTCAGGAGAAAGGGCTTCCCCCTCCTCACTATGAGTCTGTCCACAGAGATCTCATCAGTGTTGTGAGCTTTGTTGTTTTCCCTACAGTGGAGCAAAACTAGAAAAAAGAAGAAAAAAAAGGCAAGAGTAATCACAAAATGTATATATATATTTTTTACAATTGCGTGGTACTTTTTATTGGTTCTCTCTGCCAGCAATTAAAATAATCAGGCATATCGACAAGGCTTCAGCTGATAAGATTTATAGGAAAACTCAAATTCACCTCAAGTCACATCTGGCCATTATTGAGTAGATAATATACACAGCCAGACTGGGAGCAGGGCTGGAATATCAGGGGGCCCTGACAAAATGCCCCCCTTGGCCCGGACTAACCCACTGAATTTATTTTCTGTAAGGGTGTCATTGCCCCTCTGACACCCTTGATGGGATGTTATCAGAGGCAATTATAATACCTGCCCAAATGTTTGTAAATATAGAGAACCATTTTCTTATACAAATTCAATTAGATGCTTCACATTTGGCATTTCAGTTCAGCTGGTCTATATATATGCGTGTGGGTGTGTACGGCATATATGGCATTTTTGTACTTGTTGATCATAAAAAGAACTGATTAAATTTTCACTTAGGTTAACTTACCCAAAGCCATTGCTGCGTAAGTTGTTCTGCGTTATTGCAAGTTGTCCGCTGCCCAGAGTGTCTTTGCAAGTGACTGAAGACACTCGGTCCGGACACCTGTATAAATACAGTGACACTTACGGCTTTTTCCTGTTCTGCAACCATGGGCCTGAATTACTAATATTGAATTTATCAGAAACTGGTTTTGTTACTGGATGACTACTTTTGCTATGTACTGAACAATTAGACAACAAAGAAACACACCTTTTTCTTAGAGATTTTGAAATAATGCTGAGAGATAGCAATCTTACACTGTTGTGCAATTTTCAGTTTAATTCTTTTAGGGGTGTTATTACAAGAACCCAAAAAATTGAAATTCCATCTTTTAGAAAATGAGGTCCTTTAAGCTTCCATCTTCCTTGAGTTGGGTGCGCCCGTAACCTCAGGGATAGACTCCAGACCCCTGGCAACCCTGAATAGGAGAAGTGGTTTCAGAAAATGGATGGATGGATGGATGGATGGATAAATGGATGAATGGATCCAAAAGAAAATCAGTGTAGCAGGTATCGCCCATCCCTACTAGCCAGCCTACGTTCAAAGACATTAGTGTGAATCCCAGCGTGTACTTAAAATAACAACATTTCTGTAGATGTCTGTTATGTGTGTAAAGAGAGAAAGAGTATACACACTGTAACTGTCCTAGGGGACTTGTGACAATCCCTGTAAAGTTTAAGTTTTGGTATTACCACAACACTTTCAGCAGGAAGTTTGTCATATGCTGTATGAATCATGCTGAAAAATCCAGATTTGTGATTATTATTTGAATCAGAGTTCAAGCATTTCTCAAGTCTTTCTTCCCTTATTGCAACATAGGCGTTCCTGTACCACCCTGCCAATCATGCAGTGTGACACTGGCTGTGGGTGTTTCATGTACTTGCAGGGTGAGATGTTACTAGGATGTAGCTGTGTTACTTTCCCTCAGAACATCTGAAGTGGCCCACAAGGAAATAACCTATATAAAAATATATGTTTTAATATAGGTTTTGATATAGGTTTTTAATATATGTGACATATATAAAATTGGCCGTTTTCCTATATTATATGTACATATATGTACGCATATATGTGCATATATGTACATATAATATAGGAAAACGGCCAATTTTATATATGTCACATATATTAAAAACCTATATCAAAACCTATATTAAAACATATATGTTTATATAGGTTATTTCCGTGTGGTCTGGGAGTGACTTGAAATTGGAAAAAAGATTTGATTGACAAAATAAAAAAAACGACAAACCATTTTGTTATACATTTCCTTCTTTTCCACTATTTTCATACAAGAAAGAATTAACCTTGTAAATGTTTCAGGAAAATGTGTAGACATCATAGCTTTTCATCTTCTCTCACTTAGAATTAGGTGATCAGTGGTCATTGTCAACACACCACAGTGAAATGTGTCCTCTGCATTTGACCCATATGTGACTTTCGTGACATAGCAGGGGGCAGCTAACTCAGCGCCCGGGGAGCAGTGCTTGGGGGTGGTACTTTGCTCAGGGTACCTCAGTGGTGACTTGCTGGTGGGGGACTCGAACCTGCAATCTTTCAATTACAAGTGCGCTACCCCTAACCATCAAGCCACCACTGCCCACACTTATTCGCCATAGTTAAATTCCATAACATGCCAATTACATGTGATACCAATTTCACGTGTTCGCACATAAGTTTTTTTTTTTTTTTTTTTTTTTTAGTTATTTTTCCCTTGATAATAGAAAATATGAGCTAGGCATCATGTATGACAGTTGCCAAAGTGAGATATGAGCTAAAATGACCAGATCCTGCCATGAGCTATATAGGAGACATATCTTGTATGTACATATAGGGCTTATACAGATCTGGCCATTAAAAATGCATCTATTTTCACGTGGCATCCTGCAATTCGTCACGCGTG